AAAAAAAAAACAATACAGATCTATAGACACTGTAAAACGTCTGCAATTTTTACAGGGGGAAAAAAAAACCTGTAAAATGCTGCAGTAAAACCCTGTTATTTGTTTAACTTTAAAGTTACCATATACTGTGAAAAATCGTTTAGCATAATTTTGCAGTAAAATACTCCCAAATGTATGGTTTTTGCATGCACAAATTATATAGTAATTACCATACAGTTACGATTAAAAACAGTAAAAGGCTATCCCAGAAGCCCCTGCATGGCACAAAACAATTATATTTTCTATAAATACTTTTTTCCTTCTCATTTTATCATTAATGTGCATTTGGGAGTTTTGTGCTACATTTTCTGTTGTAAAATATAAGATGTATAATATTTTCTGCTGTAAAAAATTTGTCAAATGTTGGGGAGTTCTTTTATGTTTTTTACAGTAAATTTAACCGAATATTTTTTCATATACACGTTTATCCAAGAAATTAAATGAAATATTGGCACATTAAAAAAAAAATACTAAATTTCATCTTTTGCAAGCAGGCACATTCAAATGTGCAACCATAAACCAATCTCTCTGCATCAAGCTGCTGAAAGCAGAACTTGCAGTCTGACAGACACCTGAAGAACAAAGCCCGGAGAAGTGTGATGAGTGATCAGTGAGCCAATGATTTCTCCCATCATCACTGCCACGCATCTGCCACGCTCTGCCTGCTCTAGGGCCTTTGATGTGGGCTCAGATTACCAGCTTGGAGGGTTTTTTCCCTGCCCGTAGCCTGGTGTCACTGGGCTAGACACCCCCTATCCCAACTCCAGTTCCTTTTCACCACCCACTCACACTGCTGTCTGTACCCTCTCACGAGGTTCAGAACAGTTCCTGGCTTTGTTTCCCCTCACTTCCTGTCACCAAACACCTGGATGGAACCCTTATTACATGGTGAGAGAAACAACATGCCATTTGATCATCAGTGAGCTGAGGTGGGTTGGAGTATGATCGTGCTTCAAGGTACTAGAATATCTAACA